GAGGAGGTGAGAAGAGAATACATGAGAAATATAGAGACACTTGACACACATGCCATACTTAAAATTACAATTCAAAAGTTGATGTCTCACCCCAAAATTAATACCCTTTAGCTAAGCAGTTGTAACGTAACTTTAGGTGTCGAATACAAAAGGAAGCTATATTTAACCAACAAAAAGGGTTGTCAGAAAGATAAATTAAATTAAAAGCTGATTTCTAAAATCAAGAATAAAAATAAAAGATGATAATTATAGAGGATTGAAAACAATATAATGATGAACAAGACTTCAAGGTTCACTTAATTGATTTGTTCAATTGTTATAAATTTTGATTCCTATTTATTATTCAATTACATGTTTCACATCCCAAACAAACAATCAGAAGATTTAACTTTGAAGACCAATAATAATAACTAATGTATTTATTTTGAGAGAACTTAATTTCAATGAAGAACAAACTGATCTATCCTTACAACTATTCGACAGCGACAATATGTCTAATAGATAATAATACAATAAAGGATCAATTTATAAAACAAATCTACCAATCAATTATATTCTAACAAATTACACTTAAAAAAGCATTATTAATCTTATATAAAATTTGATGAATATAATTTTTAAGGTTTTCAAATATGAAATAATAAATAATCTCTCAAAAATAAAATTAAACAATAAAATCTATGAAGGAATCAAAATAAAATAACAAGTCAAACTCCTCAATTAAGATCCTCCCTAACCTTGTTGAAAGTTTAACTACATTTTGACATAATTTTCTAGCACTGGAAAAGAAAATAAAAGCCTAAGAATTGCTTACCTAGATGCTAAATCGAGTTTTAAATATTCTTATTTATATTTGGTATAAAATAAGAGTGTTTAGTAACCAGAATAGTAGCCATGGGGAATTAATTTTATTTTTTAACTTTCTTCTTGCACAGCCTTACCGAGCAGGGGTTGGAACTTGATATAAAGTGCGGAACCCTTGATGTTACTGTTTTTGTGCAAACTAACTAGGAGTCGGAACCTAGTCCAGGGTGCGGAACCCTACACACTTTTGTTTTTCCTTTTTTGCACTAGTCACAAACTTCATAAACTTTGCTCTGAATAAAAAATGGAGAAAATCCCACTAAAGCCTTCAAACTTCCAAATTTAATCTTTAGGTCCTCATATTTTTAGCTCTTTGCATTTAAGTCCTTTTCTTCTAATTCTCTCCATCTAACATCAAACCTTCAATTACCAAAAATTTGCATAACATGAATAGAATGAACAATTATGAAATTACTTGTAGAAAAATACAACTATTAAACTTATAATTCCACGAATGTCAATAGTTAAGCAAACTTTAAATGTACATTTTCATGCTTCCATCAAAAGTCCAAATAAATCCAAAATTGACTTATAATCATGCACCATGCAATTTACTTGTTGCATAAATTAAATTACCTCTTATTTACTCCAACATCATTTTTCTCCTTGTGACTTAATTTTCCACAACTTGAAACTTAAGTTACTAATTAGATCTGTTTTATTCTTGGGATAATTTTCTTTAACCTTCAATTATCACTAATAGCCATGCTATTTGTGACTTGTAGTGAAAAAATTGGTTGATCTTACAACCCTTGATGCACCTTGTGCATCATATGGACTACGAATCCCTAATCTTAACGATGCAGTAACCTGTTTAACTGGTTTGTTATGCCTTCTTTTTGTTTTCTTGCCTAGTTGCTGCATTGTAGCGAGAAGTTTATTTTCTTTTTCTTTTTCTTTTCTAGTTGTTGCAAATGCGGCAACCATTTTGGCTATTGCACATGACTTCCTTTTTTTTTTTTTTTTCTTTTGTGTATGTTTCTTTTCTGGTTGCTACCAATGCAGCAACCAAAATTTTAAGTTACTGCAATTGCAGTAACCTGGTCCGTATGGATCTCCTTATTTTTCTTTGGTTTTTTTATTAGGATTAAAACCCACATCAAACCTTCCAATTTGATGAATTAGAACTAAACCAAAATTATCCCAAATAGATTTTATCCTTCAAAAAGAAACATGTTAGTACAATTTCAATTAACTTCAAAAGAATTAAATAACTCTCAGTAAATATTTTATGGTTAAAGGTCAATTTTAGTCTCTCAACTTTAGGGTTTTGCGTGGTTTTCACTACTTAACTTTTTTATACACTTTTTGGTCCCTCAATTATGAAAAATACATTTTTTTTTAGTTTTTTTTATCAATTAATTCATTAACTTTGTCCATATATGCACATTTTTAGTCCATAAAATTTTCATTTGAGGGATGAAAATTGTGCAAAATTTTAAAGTTGAAGGACTAAAAATGTGCTTATATAGATAAATTTAAAGGATTAACTAATGTAATGACTAAAAAATGCATTTTTCATAGTTTATAGACCAAAAAAGTGCATAAAAAAGTTGAAAAACAAAAACTATGCAAAATCCTAAAGTTGATGGACTAAAATTAGCATTTAACCATATCATAATCTGTTATGATAGTCTTTTGGGTTTAAAAGGGTGTAGCAGAAGTGAAAAATTTTAAAATTTTCTCTTTCAAACTATCTACATTGATAATTAAGGAAGGTTAGGATCAATACTTAAAAGAAGCATGCCTAAAAAAGAACCGATTTTGTGGCAAGATAACAAGTTACGTGGCACTTCTATTAATGGAAGAACTATTTGGTACCAAAAATTAAAGTTCATGGACAATTTTGATACAAATTTAAAAGTTGAAGGACCAAATTTGAATTTCAACCTAACTTTAATTAAAAGCATAAAAATTGCAAAATCCATATTAAATTAATTAGGTTACAGTAGGCTAAATTAGTTCATAATAAAAACAATGAAAGTTGAAATCATAATTATGAATATAAGAATATCAAATAACAAATAAAAATAATTTAAGGAAAAATAAGATGAACAAGTTGAAATCCTTGATCTTTAAATATTTTTGAATTTCTTATTGCCTCCTCTATCTTGAGCTTTAAAAGTACCCAAAAAAAGGCTACTAAAAGCCTTCTTAGTTTGATAATGAATGAGTATTTATAGGAGTTTTAAAAACTTAATTAGAATAAACATGAGACCCATATCAAAATAATAACTTGATTAGGAGTTGTTGAAAATGGCCAAAGGTGTTGATACCTTAAAACAAGTACCAACCCCTTATTTGTTTCCATGACCTTGTGTGAGAGATTTTGGACCAAAGTGCAATTCTGGCGGTTCATTGGTAACTGTTCTGACCCCTTATCTTTCATCAATTAACACTCTGATCCTTATAGTTTTGATTGCTTCAGTTTAGTTCTAAATATTATGTTTTCTTCAAATTAAGTTCTCTTTTGCACAAGGAATGAAAATTTATATAAAATCAAATAAAATCTCATGATACTCATGAAAATATCAATAATATCAAGACAAAATTTTTACATTAATATATACAAACTCAGCTTGCCACTAGTGTTTCAATTTTAACTTTATCTTGAAATTGATAAAGATGCATTAGGTTTTTTTGTTTAATTGTAAATATAAAAATGAAAAGTTAAATCTTGTAATAAAATAATTTTTTTTATAATTATGAATGGATAAAGAGAGACAAATAAATCAAATTGAAAGGAATATCTTATTTCTTATAATTTGGCAAAAGTATAAACACTTCAATCAACCAAAAAATGATGTCTATTGAAATACAAGGATATGTCAACATTCTAGAAAATTTTATTCCATATAAGAATATTTGTCATTTTTAAAATGTTTTCACTTGTCAAAACTTTGTACAACATACACTTTATGTGCTTGAGTCCATAAACTTCACTTATGTTATAATTGGAATAAAAAAACAAAATCTTATCATGTGAGTCATGTGGTCGTCTACTTCGTTACCCTATCCTTGTCAATGTCATGTTAGCATAAATATGGTCCACTTGGACCCATGGAAGCAGAAAAATCCTGCCCAAAGTACACATGGGTTTTGTCCTCGGCATGATTCTCCCCACCTTCATAGGTCCAAGTGAACCATATTTATACCAACATGCATGATGTTGACAAAGATGGGGTAACAGAGAAAGATAGCCATGTGACTCATATGAGAAGATTCAATTTATTTTAGGCCAATTATAATAATGTGAAGTTTATGGATTAAAAGACGCAAAGTGTATATCAAGGGGCTAATCGTCTCAAAGACAAAATGTTAATGAAGTTCCAAGGGGTTATGCTGTTTTTTTCTTCTTAATCCTTGTGTTCTTTATCTCATTTTGTTTGGATGTCTTCTTTTCTCTCTACTCCAAAATCCATAGTTAACTCGAGCACATTTTCTGTTCGACCACCTAGCTTTAGCCAGATTTTTATAACAATACCATATACTTGCGAAATTGAAACTACTAGTTCACATCACTTATTCTCTTTATTTATATATATATAATTTTCTTAAAAATTTTCTTTACTTTTTACACAAACTATAAATGGATGATATTCTTGATTTTAATTTACAAGTGGATAATTTATACTTTAATTTACAAGTGGTTAGTGCTTAATTTATTTTTCATAATCCTTTCCGTGTTCCAACTATTGACTGTTGAAAGTTTATCTCAAATTGATGAATCTTAACCCCTTTTTTTTATTTATTTTAGAGATTGTTTTTTCTCACTTTTAATAAAATTTGGCAGACACTTTTTCATAAATATATTTATTAGATTCACCTAGTGATTTGTTGCTTCTTTTTCCATAAATTACGTAGAATTAGATATAGTGAGAAGGAAAAGAAGAAAAAATTTAGAAAGTACATGCACCAACAATTTCTCAATTCTGAAATTATTATGAAATTATAGAAATTCCCTTATAGTTTGTTTGGGAACATGAATTTGGTACAATGTATTTGAATTTTAATCTCCCAAATTTAATATCATTGTTTGTTTTTATATAAATAAAGAGTAATTAGATTTAGCTGAAATACATGTATTTCACCCAAATAATTCAAAAGAATAAAAACCGTGTATTTCAATTTCACCCTCAAACCCATGAACTTTAATTTCAAAATGAATTTCCTCTGCACTCTCTCCTCTCACCGACGACAATGAAGCCTCCATCTTCCAAGTCAACCTCAACCAACGGATTGTGGGATTAATCACTCTCAACATTTGATTCATCATCCTCGCCATCATTTGAATCATCATCATCATCCTCGTCGTCCTCCTACTCCTCTTCTATCAAAATCCCCTCCCATTTTCTGTCCACTTGAGCATCTCCTTCATCATAGTCTTCATCCTCATCCTCGTAGTCACCATCTTTGCCTTCCTTGGCATCAACCTCAGGTTCCTGGTCATCGATTTTAGATTTGGGAACAGAAGTTCCCAAATTGTTGCTCTTGCTCGTTTGATTTTCTTCATTGTCCTCAATTTCGTCCTGGTGCACAATTTTGGGGGCTTTTAGTGGGGAATTGTCATGGGCTTGAGCCTTGCGTTTGGTGGGCAATGTAGCTTCTTCAGAGCTCTTGGTTTTTGCCATTGATTTTGATGAAAAATTTTGTTTGGGGAAGGAATCCATTGGGATTACACTTTAGAAAAGAAAATTTTGAGGTTTTTGGCCCCCCCCATGTTAGGGTTTTTTTGTTTTTTCTTTTAATGGAAAAAAATGGGGTCTTGATTTGAGATTTTGGAGAGAGTCCTAGTAAAGAACAATTTTGGTATATTCTACATGTTTTATGATGCCAAAAATTGAGATTCATTGTTCCAAGTTTGTTTTCTCTCTGTGCCTCCATGTTCAGAGTTGAAAACAAAAAGAAAGTAAGCATTTACTATTTATGACTATGGTCCTTCTTTCGTTGTGGTTGAGGGACATAATATGGGATTGCCTTCCTTGGCATCTCTCTTATGAGAGAGGCCACATTACCTTTACTGAGCTGCTCCTTATTTGTCCTTACTCATTTCAAATATGTCTGTTAATGCCATGATTTTGATATTGGACTTTTAGTTGTGTTCGTTGCATGTGATATTTTTCTTATATTCCCTTGTTAATTTTAGGAGCAAAAAGAAAATAAAAAAAGTCAAGAAGAAGGTGTTTTTTACAGTGAAATTCTTTCATGATAAATTCATCATTGTAGAAATTGAATATTGTATGACAATGAAGAAAATGAAAAGAAAATGGAAAGCATGAAGACAAACTAATTAGTGGAGGTCATTGTTCTGTTTTTTTTTTTTTTTTATCCAATTTGTTTGTCTTGATATAATTTAAATAATGCTTTGAAAGATTAAAATTATTAACTTTGATCTTATTAAATTTAAATAATGATTAGAAGAAGATTTAATTTAATAAGAAAAATTTAATTTTAAATACATAGTTTTTTAATATATCTAAACAATGTATTTTAATTACACTCATCAAATTCAAATTTAAATTCCCAAACACAACCTTAAAGATTACTATGTAGCTTCATTTATTGTTCATCACTTTTAATACAATACTTCATCTAAATGTATAAATTTATTATAATTATAATAATAATTTTTATTATTTATAGATTTTTAATAATCTAATTAGTAATTTATATATTTTTATAATAATAAAAGATAAAAACCTCCTGTAACATTAACACTTCTTAGCAATTATAGACAAAGTATGAATTTGCTAAGCCTAATAAAATTGGCTCGGTACTGGTCCAATAATGGTCAGCACCAACCAATCAAGGGATACGAGGGTTGATTTTAGGTAAGTTGGTCTTCGTAAATTAATAAACATCAGACCGGTCCAACAATGAACCTTCAAAATTCTTTTTTTCTTAATTAATGTAACAAAAAAGAATAAAAAAATAACTCACGCTTTGAGAGTTCAGTTACTTTCGGGCCAAAACTTCAATGCAACGAGTTGATGAAGCCTGAAAGTTCTTTTTTCATCAAATTCATGTGCTCATGGTCGTAAGGTCTTACGTAGACAGATATTGATTGACAAGTTGCCTTTTTTTTTTTTGTTGAAAAAGAAGTCACCGATTAAATAAGTGTTAATGAATTAAGTTTGAATTCCCTTCCTTTAATTGTTAATCGTTCAAAGAAAAAAGTTCTGTACCTTCTATCCCCTTGTCAAATAATGGATAATTTTTATTTTGTATCTAAGTTTAAAAATGAATGAATTACTTATAAATTTTTCAATTTGAATTTAAGTTGGGCTCAATTTGATTCAAGTTTGAGTAAGATCAAGCTTTCTTCTGTTTTTTCGGGTTGGTAAATATTTTTTTTCTCTATATTAAATATTTAAAATTTTAATTCTGATTTAATTGTAACTACTCATTAATAATAGTATTCACTGTAGTTTATTGGGTCTCATGGTTTTAAAATACATTAATAGGAATTAATAGGGATTAATCTTATATACACAGCATGTAATGCCCAAAATTTGGACATGTTTTTAAGAAGAATGTAAGAGTTCTTAAATGATCACGTGGAAGAGAACTCAATTGTAAGAAATGTGCATTTTGAGGTTTTTATGGCTAAATATTGAAACTTTAGGGAGTGGATTGTAAAGTTTAATAGTGATAGATATTTGAGAATTGAGATATTTGGATAGATAATTGATATGGAAAAGTGTGGAAGATTATTGTCTTGCATGTGGAAGACTAAATAGTCAGTTATATGCCAAGTAGCCCAATGGAATTAAGAGAATTAGACCAATAGGAAAAGTTCATTGTTTGACTGAATACCTAGATATTTTAGACATTTGGGAGACATTTTTAGTGACTTGTTTATGGCCAAAAACCAAGCATAAAAGGAAGAGAAAAACAAGGAGGTAAAGGAGGAAAAACGCAAGAAAGTTCTTGTGTTTTCTGCCTATGCATAGTTTTGGCAAAATGTACCATCCATGCTAATCCATCATTAGATTGAGCTAAAATTTGAATGAGGGATAGTTCATCCCAAACTTTATGTAATAACCTAGGCCACTATTGATATATCCACTTTAGCACATTAGGCTTCATGATTTTAAAATGCATCAATAAAGGTTAATGGATGCTGACTTATATACCCAATGTCTCTCACATGTTTTGTCGATATGGGATTTGCCTAGAGGTGTTAGATTCAACCCCCTCTTTCAAAACTTAGCATCATCACTAAGGTTTACCCACCATCATTCAATAGGTCAAGCAAATTGGCTCTTATATCATATGTAACAACCTAACCCAAAGTCACAAGTCTAAGGATGAAATCAAGGCTTGAATTCAAGCAAAATACATCAAAGTTTTCTTGTATAAATCGAAGCAAAATTAGAGGGAGAAAGTCTATACAGATGGCTGCTATAATGTGAAGTCGATAGTTGTGGAAGAAAATCTTAAAAATTGAACAACTAGGCATTAAAGAAACTTACCGTTGATGAAGGAAATGAGAGTAGAAAAAAGATGAAATCTAAGAATTTTAAAGAGGTGAGAAGTGGCTATTTGTAGGTAGACCAAGGCATGCAATTAAGCTAGGTTATGGTAGGTTTTAGATACTTCAAGAATCAACTAATTTTACAATTAAATCCCTCAATTTTTGAAACCCTAGCAATTAAATACTCCAAGTCTTAATTGAACCAATTAGGTTTAACTCTTAAGATATCATTACATTCCTTAATTCATTACTATTCCTTTTAAGTCCCTTGATAATTACATTAAGACTCAGGAAATTTTTGTGGTACTACATCATATGTAACAACCAAACCCACTATTGATATTGTTTGCTCTAGCCCATTAAGCCTCACAATTTTACAACAAGCCAATATAAGTTAACGTGTGTTAACCTATATAATCAGCATCTCTCCCATGCTTTGTCAATGTGGAATTTTGCCTAGAGGTGCCACACTTTTCATCCCAAATTTTTTGTCTAATTATCTTTTTATCTACTAATAGTTAGAGTTGGTACAATTAGTCTTGACAAGACCTATCTGCTTTAAATTGGGTCATGTTCCACAATCTCAACCCAAAATACAAAAAACTCAATCCAATAGAGCTGTTGTTTAACCCTCCCCATAAGACTTCCTTTCTAATTTTATCAAGTAATTTAATCACATCTTTAGGAAGCTATAACACATTTAATAAGTATGAGGTACACATAGACTATACCTTTAGCTCATAACAAAGATACATTCCATCGACAACCCAAGTTAGTCATTGATAATCTCCTTCTAATGGAAGTAAGAGGTCCTAAATTCGAGTCATATGGCAAACAAATGGAGTGGGTTGAGGGATACAAGAAGGTAGCCTCTATTGGGACTCAAATGGAATTGAGCATAACTTTTTTCGTCCAAGAACTCCATAACAAAATGAAAATATTGCAAGAAAACAATAGAACTTTGGAAGAAATGGGAGGAACTCTGTTTTGTGAAAATCAATTGCCAAAACATTTTAGCATTTTTAGGCAAAAACCATAAACACTACATCTCATATTTTGAATAAAGCTCTTATTAGACCAAAATTGAATAAAACTCTAAATGAATTGTGGAAGGGTAAGAAATCAAACATTTCGTCTTCTTCTTCTTCTTTTGGCATTTAGCTAGTTGTAAGTGTTTCATGCATACCAATGGCAAAGATAATTTGGGAATTTTTAATGCTAACAGTGATGAAGGTGTCTTTCTTGGATATTCAATAACCAATAAAGCATAAAGATTTCATAACAAGAGAACTTTAGTAGTAGAAGAGTCTAAGCAAGTTACTTTTGATGAGAATAATGTTATTTTGAGAAAGTGAGTTCTGGATAATGATGTAGGTGAAGTTCAAACAAAGACTTGAGAGATTAACATTGAAGAAAATTCTAGACAAGAAGGAAGCTCACAAAAATAGAATGACGTGTCTCAACAAGGCTTTCCAAAAACTTGAAAATTCAAAGAAAGAGACTAGCCAAAAGAACAAATCATTGGTGACATTGAAAAAGGGTTAATTACTAGATTTCATTTTGATTAATTTTGTTAGTAATTTTGTATTTATATCTCATATGAAATCTATAAATGTTAAAGATACTTTTGAAGATGAAAATCAGTTCTTAGCCATACTTGAATTTGTTTACAGGAAATAAAGTGTGGAGCCTTGGGCCTTGTCCTAATGATCATCCAATTCTAGTCCCCAAATGGTTTTTTAGGAATTAGATGAACTTGGTCAAGCAGTTACAAATTAAGATTAGTTCCTAAGGGATATAGACAAGAGAATAGCATAGACTATGATGAAGCATATGCATCGGTTGCTAGATTAAACTATTTGCATGCTTTTTGCTTTTGCTTATCACATGAACATGAAAATTTTTTCAAACAAATGTTAATAGTGCATATTTAAGTGGATTCATTAAAAAAGAAGCTTAAGTCAAATAACACCCTAGTTTTAAAGACCCATATTACCAAATCATGTATTTAAATTATTGAACACTTTCTATCACTAAAAATAATCTCTTAGAAATTGGTATGAAAGGATAAATAGTTTTTTAATTGAAAAAAGGTTTTTTAGAGGAAAGTTTATACCTCTTTATTCATTAAGTATCATAAAAAAGATATTTTGATTGTCTAAATTTATGTTGATGACATGATATTTGGTGCTACT